CTCTCTGTAAACCGCTTAGAGAGGGCTGAAAGCCCTATGAAGCGGTATATAAGTCTACTGCTATTGCTATTGCTATCCAGGAACATCTCTACTGGCTTCTGGCTCACTCTCCCTTGTCGCCTCCCCACTGGTGCAAGGCTTAGGTGCCTCCTGGTGGCTCTCTGCGCCCTGCTCGGAGTCGGAACCCTGTCCAGGATCCTCCACATCCTCTAGAGCTGACTCATAGGGCCTCTCGCTGTCGGAGTCTGGTGGCAGCTCCAACGGCTCCTGCTAGGCCACAACAATTACCAAACTAGGTAACATCATCGGTGCTCAGATACAAAATACAAAATATCTACAGCAAAGAGCTAAATTTTTCTGGAAAATAGTAATTATTCATTTTTAATAAGGCACTGTGTGGTACTCTGACTTTCTATCATTAAGGGATTTTTACTGGTAAGGAAAAGTTGGAAGAAGGTGTGGGAGAAGAAAGAAGGGTTAAATATGGAAGGTAATTGCACCTGATATCTCTGAATGGGGTAGATAGATAGGTTGCCAAATAATGACAGCCAACAAGTCTCTTTAACCATGGTCCAATTATAACATTGTAAGGTTAAAACTTGTGTTTTGGTGCAATTGACTTTTCTTCCATCTAGATATTTGGTGCTGGCTTGACTGACTTTTTCCTATAATTAAATGAAAAGCTCCTGTGTTTTATGTGGTTAGAAAGTTATTGATATTTTGGTTTGGCCAAGAACCTCCACGTGTGCCGATGGAATTTGATCCTGCAAGAGACTTTTGCCTCATCACTTCTATAATTTCTTTCTAAAACACGTACTAACTCGATATTTCTTTTCAAAGTTTTTTTAAAAAAAAGATTATATGGCAAAATTCCATTTTGCATGAATTTTAGCTTCTAGCATTTGTGAGAGATTCCGATCAATTTATGGATTTCCTTTTCTCTGGCTTTCCAAACTCATTTCTATTTCTCTCCTTTTCACTTTATAGATTCATTCTCTCTCACTCATTCACTCCCTCTCCCCCTTTCTCTCTCCCCCTCTCCTTCTCCCACTCCCTCTCCAGGTTATAGGCAGAGGTGGGTTGATCCCGGTTCGGCCCAGATTGGGCGAACCGGTAGTAGCGGGAACAGGAAGCTCCGCCCACCTGCCCAGACGCTTCTGCACATGTGCAGAAGCTTGTGCACATATGCAGAAGTGGCACACACGCGAGCGAACCAGTAGGAAAAAAATTAGAAACCCACCACTGGTTATGGGACATTTCCTTCTTTCTAACAAGATGCTTAATAGTTTGGCTCAGCAGATGGGCTTCTAGATGATCTGGCCCTACCTCTTCCTTCTCGACATGGTTGCCTTTGATCTTCAGATCTGGCAAGTGCGGGTGTCCATTCCCCGAAAGTTACTATCATAACTTTCTTGATTTATGAACTGGGCTCTTCATCCTGCCGGCATCTGTCTCCACCGTAATGCATTCTGTGTTTTTTCCTGACAAGATCTTTGCTTATCGTTGCTCCCCAGATACTTGCTTCTGCCAAGGCCCTTCTGCTTTGAGCCGAGAAACCGTTACAAGATCATCGTGCGGTTCCAGCGAGCAGGGGTGGCACAGCGCCATCCTGCAGCTTTCATCCTGGTAGACTCGGTGAGAACTCCTTCCTCTTAAGGGCAGCCCAGGGTTCTACTGTGGTCTAAGCTACTTTCCTTAAGTCTTATATTAATGCCTCTTCATGAGGTATTCATCTCATTTCATTCTCTTTCATGTACAAGTAGTCTTGGATTTATGACCACTGTTGTCAGCAGAGTTTCTGTTGTTAGTACGGTGGTTGTTAATGAATCACGGCTGATTTTACAACCTTTTTTGCCAGGGATATTAAGCACATCACCGTAGTTGTTAAGTGAATTGCACAGTCATTAAGTGACTCCATTTTCCTCTATTGATTTTCCTTGTTTGAAGACAGCTGGGAAGGTCACAAATAGTAATCATATAATCCCAGGTTATAACTGTTATAAATACATCCTGGTTGCCAAGGGCCCAAATTTTGATGACCATGGGGATGTTGTGATAGTCATAACAACAAGGACCAATTGTAAGTCATTTTTTTAGTGCTATTGTAACTTCAAACAGTCATTAAATGAATAGTTGACAGTCAAGGACTACCTGTATTTTGATGATTATTTTTGTATTTCTTTGATTTCCTTTCCTTTGAGTGAGAGATAAATGAAGTAGGTGGAGGGAGGGAGGGAGGGAGAGAGAGAGAGAGAGAGAGAGAGAGAGAGAGAAATGAAAGAAAAAGAAAGGAAGGAAGGAAGGAAGGAAGGAAGGAAGGAAGGAAGGAAGGGTCATCTAAGATTCCTCCTTCCTTTATCCCACAGCTGGTCCTTTTACCCTACGTGACAGAACTACCTGGTTTCCATGGTGACGATCCAGCTTCTGTGGAGCGCCGGGAGGCCCTGGAACACTACACATGCCTGGAATTATTTCGCATGGCCACCATGCCTGACCTTCCTGAGACCTGTGCCCACCTGCTCTGCAGCATTTCTGCCATCATCCATGACGGGGCTCTGCGTAAGTAAAAGAATCCCCCCCGCAACCCCACAGAAAGGAGAGGGCCAGTTTCTCATTCCCCAAGGGTGTTGAATTCTAGGAATCGTCAGCCCAAACTTGTATGGACCGATGGTGGGAATTCCAGCTTTGGTCTTCTTGAATCTGGTGTAAGGATAGAGCCCAGTGTCTGAAAATTAAATGGGGACAAACGTAGCAAAATATTTCCTATAATCAGCAAGTTTCGATCTGAAGGCTGGAGGTTTCCTCAGGGTGGGCTCAATCAGTACATAAGACTACAGAATACAAAATAACAGAGTTAGAAAGGACCTTGTAGGTCATCTAATCCAATCTCCTTATACTATTTCAGACAAGTGACTATCTAGTCTCTTCTTAAAAGCTTCCAGTGATGAAGCTCCCATAACTTCGGAAGGCAAAGCTGTTCCATTGGTTGATTGTTCTCAGTGTCAGGAAATTTCTCCTTATTTCTAGGTTGAATCTCTCCTTGATCAGCTTCCATTCATTATTGCTTGTCTGGCCTTCGGGTGCTTTGGAAACAGGTTTCCCCCTCTCCTCTCTGTGGCAGCCCCTCAAATATTGGAATACTGCTATCATGTCTCCTCTGATCCTTCTCTTCACTAGACTAGCTGTGCCCAGTTCTTGCAACCGTTCTTCATATGTTTATCCTCCAGGCCCCTGCTCATTTTTGTTGCTCTTCTCTGCACTCTTTCGAGATCAGGGGGTGGCAACCTTAAACACGCAAAGAGAAATTTGGACCCGTTTCCAACAGAAAAAAATTGTTTTCCCAAGAACCACAAAGGTCCTAACCAGAAGCCACCCATTCAATTCTGGAGCCGACCGAAAGTCTGGTTTCCCCACCATAGAGTCTCCTCCTAGCACAGCGTCATTTTTCCTCTACCATAGAGTCTCCTCCTAGCACAGCATCATTTTTCCTCTACCTGTCCTAATCAAAAGCCCTATCAATTATGGAGCCAACTGGAAAGCCCACCACTTGCCATAGAATCTCCTGGCACACCTTGCCCCCCCCCAAACTGGAAGCTCCTCTCAAAATGGTGGCACCGACAGGTGACAGGGAGCCACAGCAGATGGATGAAAGAGCCGCAGGTGGTTTCAAAGCTGTGGGTTGCCGACCCCTGTTCCAGAGTCTCAGCATCTTTTTTATAGTGTGCTGACCAAAACACTTAAGGAGGCATTACGAGAGAAGTATAAGAAAGGGAATTTCTTTTGAATGATTGTTTCTGAATTCTGCAGTCAGAAAACCTCATTTCCAGACCTGTGGCTGAAATGTCCAAAAGGTACAATCATGAGGTCTAGAAACCTTTAAAGTTTTCAAGCTAATAAAGCAAGTGCAGAGAATATCAGGAATGCAGAGCAGTTGCCTGATTACTGCTGAAAACCACGTCTTGATTCCTGTATTATTATCTCCAATAGCTTTTTGGAGTTCCGCTACATAATCTACTGCGTAACATAAGCAGGCATGACCCTAACACTTCTCACCTTTTAAGACAGCTCTAGAGGGAGGAGTTTTACTCTGTGTCCCATGGAGACATTCTCTCACATCCTCCTTCATCTTGTGACCCCAAAATCCAAGATCTGTCCAATCTGACTTGATTGCAGAATGTCTTTTGTGTTCCACTTATAACTCTAATTCTTGCATTGCTGTTTCTCTCCCCCCTCCCCCCCACTAAGCCTGCCAGTGTGACCTCCAGGGTTCCACCAGCAGCGTCTGCCATAAACTGGGAGGACAGTGCCAGTGTAAGCCCAATGTTATGGGTCGGCAATGTGACCGGTGTATCCCAGGCACTTATGGATTTGGACCTTACGGCTGCAGTTGTGAGTAGCTAAGGCTGGACCTGCCTCATTTTTATCTTTTTTCAAAGTGTATGCGTGGCAGGAAACACACAAGCACAATAACTACCAGCATTCAAAGTCAGAGAGGGATGAAACAGCTGGTTGAAAGCAGGGTACTCTTTGTTTATATTGCAGCACAAGCAATATTAGGATATAGGATAGATGGATGGATGGATGGATGGATGGATGGATGGATGGATGGATGGATGGATGGATGGATGG